AGAGGAGGAGGAGGAGGAGGAGGAGGAGGCTGACAGGAAGAAGAAGGCAGAGATGATGAGAAGGAGTATGCTGCGACAGAGACGAACTCGCAGGTACCTCACACTTTTTCACCTTCTCCCGGTCAATCGACGAGCAGGAGAGATCGTGAGGAAGAGGATGAAGATGACGACGAGAATCATAAAATGTACTTGAAGCTTCCAATTCAAGACAAGCAGCACGCAAAGAAGTAAGAGAACCTCCTCCTCCTCCTCGTCCTTCTGGTCCTCCTCCTCCTCCTCCTCCTCCTCCTCCTCCTCCTCCTTCAACCTCTCCTGCACCTCTTACACCCCCTGTCCCTGTCTTTCCCTCTGGCCACTTTTCACTCTCCTTCTCTCCTCTTGTCCCTTCCCATCCCCTTCCTCTAACTTTCCCTTCCTCTTCTTCTCTCTCGTGACTCTCGTCTCGACAGTCTTCATCCTACGACAAGGACGACCTGTGGGTCATCTCCTCCTCTCCCACCTTCGACGAGCCAACCGACGACAATTCCTTCACCTTCCTTGCTCGTAGCGAGTACTACGGCGTCTCGTCATCAGGTAGAGAGAGGGGACGGCAGGGAGTGGGAAGAGTGAAAGGAAGGGCATGGAGGGAGGGATAAAGGAAGGGAGAGAAGTGGAGGGGAGGAGGGGAGACGAAGGATGCTGCAGTGGTGATGGTTCCGTCAGGTCTCGTGTCCGTCAAGCCTCTTCTGTCTTCTCCTCCTCCTCGATCCTCCCGCGTCACTAGAGTCTTCGCTCTCCGGGGGTCAAACGTGGCGACTGAAGTCTACATGCTCGACGTCCTGGCGAACCTGACGAGGGAGGAGAGGACGAAGAGACGCTCGCCTCCTCTCTTCCGCTCCCTGCTCGCACTCGGTCCCGTCACCTCACAGGACGACGTTCTACATCAGCGGTTGCTTATCGTCCGCTCTCTTCCTCCTGCTCTCCTCACTCTTCTTCCAGCCTCCGGCAGCTCTCCGAGGAGGATCAGGCGAGCTTCAAAGGAGCATTGGAGGTAGCGGAGGGTCAGGTGGAGAAGACCTGACGGCAGAGCAGGAGGAGGCGGAGGACATTCTCAAGCACTTTGCTCTCAACGAGGAGCAGCAGCTTGCACTGCAGGCTGTCAAGAAGTCGCTCCTCCCTGCCTCTGATCCGCAGCAAGAGGTCAACCCCTTCATCCTCCTCTTCGGCATCTTCGGGAGCGGCAAGACCCACCTCCTCAGCGCTATCATTCTCCTCCTCTACCGACTGAGCAAGAGGGCCGAGCAGGTGCTTACTCTTCCCCTTCCTCCTCCTCTTCCCCTTCCTCCTCCTCTTCCCCTTCCTTCTCCTCCTCCTTCCATTGACCTAACCCAGCAGAGCTCGACGGCTCTCCATCCTCTCCGCGTCCTCGTCGTCAGCTGGACAAACGTGGCGGTGGATCGCGTGCTGCTGAGCCTGGAGCAGCGCGGCATCAAGGACTTTGAGCGGCACGGGAGCGCGACGAGGATGTCAAAGGACCTGCTCAAGTACTCGTGCCTGCAGCTGAAGCACGAAGAGAGGAGGCGGCCCGAGCAGTCGAAGCCCATCATCGTGGGGGGTGAGCACGCGGGTCAGCTGAGGATGCTGCTGATGATTGTGCAGCAACCATCGCCTCCTGCTCCTTCTCCTCCTTGGACGACTGCGAGTTTGACTTTGTGATCGTAGACGAGGCGACTCAGATCCCTGAGGTGCGAGGAGGAAAGAGGAGGAGGAGGAGGAGGAGGAGGAGGAGCTAGTCTCACTGACAGCTCAGCCTGCCTGCCTGCTGCCGCTGCTGAGGTTCCATCCTGCGCGCGTGATCCTCGTCGGAGATCCTAAACAACTTCCTCCCACGTTACGAGGACCCAACCGACTGCTGGGCCCGGCAGATGACCTGACAAGAACTCTCTTCGAGGTCTTCCATGCCCCTCTTCCTCCTCCTCCCTGAGCTCCTGCTCCTGCTGCTCCTGCGCTATCCCACTCCTCTCCCTTCATTCCCCTCACTCCTGCACTCTCTCAAATTGCTTCACAAGCCTCCTCGTTGTTCCTCCTCCTCCTCCTCCTCGTTGTCCCTCCTCCTCCTCCTCCTCCTCGCCCTCCACATCCTCTTCGTCTCACATTCCTGCAGCGGCTCAGTGAGCTATCGCCCTCCTCCAGCATTCGCCTCACCCGGCAGTACCGATGTCATCCTCGCATCTCCCGCTTGGCCTCCCTCCTCTTCTACAACCAGGAGGTCAAGGACGGAGTAGCAGGGGAGGACAGGCAGGCGATATGCTTCCTGCCCCCCACTCTCTTTCTCGACACGTCCTCGCTTGACCGCTCCTCTCTGCCAGCCTTCATGCAGCAGGAGGTGACCTCCGACTCCTTCCTCTCCGACTTCGGCTCGGACGTGCAGGAGCTAAGGAACTGGTCGGACTTCCATGAAGCCGCTGCTGTCCTCGGCCTCTTGAGCAAACTCCTCAGGGCCAACGTGCCGGCAAAGCAGGTGAGCCAGAGCTGATCTTCTCCTCTCCTCCTGCTCCTCCTCCCCCTCCTCCCTCATCCTCCTCCCCCCAACCTCTCTTCCCTCCTCCTTCCCCCTCCCTTCCCTCCTCCTCCTCCTCCTCCTCCACCACCACCATTATCACCTCCACCTCCATCTCCCGTTGCATTCCTCTTCGTCGGATCACTGACGTGACCCCTCAGATCGGCATCATCTGCATGTATCGAGCGCAGGTGGGTATGATTCAGAGGCTCCTCCTCCTCCTCGAAAAGGCTGCGAGATCTAAAATGTCCAGTACCGACGTGAGTACGAAGTCTCCTGAGTCATGCTCCTCTTCCTCCTCCCCTCCTCTCTTCTCCTCTCTATCTCCTCTCTATCTCCTCCTCATTCTCTCCTCTTCACCTCCTGCCCACATTTCCTCCTCCTCGTCCTCTCCTCTTTACCTCCTGCCCACATTTCCTCCTCCTCGTCCTCTCCTCGCTACCTCCTCCACACCTCTCCTCCTCCCCGTTCCACTACTTTCCCCTGCCTCCTCATCGCATACCATGTTGAAGTCTTTTGCTGCAGCGCGACCTGGTCAAGGACATTTCGCGTGACTTGACTGAAATCACTCGACACGTAAAAGTGAGCACGGTTGATGCTTTCCAGGCAAGAGAGGAGGAGGAGGAGGAGGAGGAGGAGGAGGAGCAAGAGAAGCAAGGAGGGAGGAGGAGCGAGAAAGGAGGAGGAGGAGGAGGAGTGAGAAAGTAGGAGGAGGGAGGAGGAGGATGAAGAGAAGCGAGGAGGAGGATGAGGAGGAGGAGGAGCGAGGAGGAGGAGGAGGAGCCAGAAACGAGGAGGGGCAAGAAAGGAGGAGGATGAAGAGGAGAAGCGAGGAGGAGGACGAGGAGGAGGAGGAAGGAGGAGGACGAGGAGGACGAGGATCAGGAGGAGGCTGACGCTGACCAAGGGAGAGGAACGAGACATCGTGTTTGTCTGCCTTACAAGGATGAGTGGAGGTCTCTCCCCCTGTCCCACATCTGCAACCCTCGCAGGTACCTCAAGCTTCCCCTACTGCTGCCCTTCTCAAGCTTCTACAGGGTCAACGTCGCCATCACCCGAGCAAAGAGACACCTCGTCGTCTCTGGCTTCGCTCCTGTCAGTCTCCTCCTTCTCCTCCCTCCTTCCTCCCTCCTTTTTTCTCCTCCTCCTCCTTCCTCTGGCACTCTTTTCCTCTCTTCTTCACTCTCCTGCCACACTTCTACCTCTGTTTCCCTACCCCTCACCTGATCCTCATCTCGCTCCTTCAGCTGCTCCAAGATGCTTCGCCATGGAACGCTCTCCTTGACAACGTAGACCGTCGCACTGATCGCCCGGCTGCCGCCCCCGGGCCAGCAATCAGCAGCGAAACTTCTCTAGCGCATTTCCAGGAGTTGTTGAGCCGGCTGAAGCTAACGTAGCGGAGGAGGCTGACGACCGACGTAGACGATGAAGTCTGTTATGCTTTACACTTTAATCGTCTTCAAACATTCGAACTGAAAGAATTCGAGAGAAACAAACTGAGAGGGAGAGGGGAGAGGAGAACGACACAGCTTGAGGGAGAGCTGGAGGGAGTGAAGAGCTTAGGAGGAGGTCGAGCTGTACTGGATGCCGTGCTTCTCGAAGCCTAGAGTGATGACCTGCTCGTTGTCAGCAGCCATCCAGCTGGGAATATGACCTCACCGAGATACGAAGAACGACGACTCCTGAAGCGAAGGTCGACAGCCTGTAACGATCGTCCTGCAAGACAAGACCTCATGTCATCGACCATGACAGCAGCAGCATCGGCTTCATGTTCATCTTCTCCACCACCATCACGATCAACAGACAGCAGGATCAACCGCCACTACATCAGCTATGCGAGGAAGCATCTTCTATCACACAAGGAGGGCCAACAAAAGAACGTCACCTGTCGCCATATGAGATCGGAGTCCTTCAGCTGCGGATACGCTCCTGCCACGCGTGATCGTGAGACTTGTGTTGCTCTACAGGAGGAGGAAGAGACCGAGAAAGAACGCGCTGACATACTCCAACCAACTCTGAGGCTTCGGTCGCCATGTGCAGACCTTGAGCTCGTATGTCCCAGGGCTTGAAGGGATCTGAGGGAGAAGGAGCCATGCCGGGTCAGCAGACAAGTCGATGTCATCACAAGGGCTTCTCACATAGCAGAAGCCATATCCTGCCAGGCTGTTCCTCCCGTGACTGTCTTGGCTCCAGACCTAAAGGACGAGCTCACATGATCGTGGCACAGACAGGTCTATGCACGAAACCTCGCAGTGAAACTTGGGCCATCCTTGTAGCGCTGTAGTGCTGTAGTGTAGATCGAGGGGATATGACCAGACGCATGGCTCTCCCCTCGGCATCACGTCCACCTAGACACTTCATGCTCACGAAAGGGAGTGAGAAGGAAAGGAATGCCTGTGTCTGCCCGCTAGCAAACCCTTCCAGTAATGTCCATCTTTTGTTGTCGGCTCGACCATCGTCAGTTACGATACTCCTGAGAATTTTTCAAACCGATAGGCCTCTTCTTTGTTTCACATACAGATCCCTCTTCGCCTCTTCAATCCCATCATCATTATCTCCATCATTATTATCATCATCGCCATCATTATCATGACTTTATCATCATCATCGTCATCTCAATCATCTATCATCTTCGCAATCGTCATCATCGTCTCCATCATCATCGCAACCACCAGCATCGTCTCTCACCACTTGCACAGCAGCGATGGCTCGTCGAAGTCTTCGCCTTGTGCTATGCTGCCCACTACATGCACCTCCGCCATTCCCGCCAACCCAAACGCAGTACCGGTCTGTAACGGTCTGTAACCATCAGGAATTATAACGGTCCATAACGTTTGGAACATGCAGGGAAGAGGGAAGACAGGGAGAGGGAGCGGGAGCGGGAGGAAGAGGAAGGGAGGAGGAAGTGGAGGGGAGAGAAGGGAAGGAGAGTTGTGTTCAAGGAGGAAGCATCTGATGCAGGATTGTCTCTGTAGAAGAAGTAGCTGTGCGAGCGTGAATGATAGTGAGTAACAAGACTTGTTGTCTGAACAAAAATCTACCTCGAATGTTCGCATGTGACAATATGGTTCAGGTCATGAAGGATGATGAGAAACCAGAGCTGCCGTGGGGGCTGGATAGCTCAAAGCTCGCCAAAGGATCCAAAGATTCCATCACCCAAGACAAAATAAAGGGATTCCAAATCGGCAATCAAACCAAGTCCCGTTTCCAAAAGCACAAGGAAGAGCAAGAGGCAAGGAAGAGGCAGGAAGAAGAGGAAGCCGCCAAGGTCTTCGAAGATTTCGTCGCCTCTTTCGAGACTGATGGAGCGGCAAAGCCCAAGGGCTTCGTTAGAGGTGAGGTGGTTCAGAAAGGGTCGAACCCGCTGGGTGGGAATGCGGGCATGCAAGTCAGACCGGGAGAGGTTTACAGCATGGTGCCAAAGCATGAGACCTATCGCGAGGAGAAGCAGACTTTCGACTCCAAGAAGTCACCGACGGAGATCAAAGTGAAACTCCTGTACCTCAATGTGTTAGGCAGCTCACCAGTAGGCAGGGAATCAACAAGGCCCAGAACAAGAAGCGAGGAATCGAAGAGCTGATGAAGGAACTGCGAGGAACCACTCCGGCATCAAAGGTGCAAGAGGAGGAGGAGGAGGAGGAGGAGGAGGAGGAGGAGGAGGAGTGATAGTTCGCAGGCGCAGAAGACTGAGGAACTGATCGCCTCGCACTTCCGGGACAAGGACATGCCGCAGGGTTCGTTTGATGATGGAGATGAAAACACAACGAACCTATACGTTGGCAACCTTCATCCTCAGGTACTTGTGACCGAGCGATGCTGGGCTGACAGCGCTTCAGATCTCTGAGGAGATGCTGATGAAGGAGTTTGGGAAGTACGGGCCCATTGCGTCTGTCAAGATCATGTGGCCTCGGACGGACGAGGAGAAATCGAGACAGCGAAACTGTGGCTTTGTGAACATGATGGACAGAAAGAGTGCAGAGGCAGCCAAAGACAGTCTGAACGGGAAGGAGTTCTTCGGTCTGGAGATGAAGATAGGATGGGGGAAGGCAATGTCAAAGGGAGCTGTCCCCTGCTACGCGATGAAGCCTGGCGAGAAGGAGGAGCCGGTCATGTTCAGGAGGACGGGAGAGGTTACGGTGAGATTCCCAAAGTCGAACGAAGTGCGGCAGATGATCGACAAGATGGCGGAGTACGTGGTGAGGGAGGGCCACGAGTTTGAGAAGGCGATCCTGAACCGAGAGAGAGAAAACCCGCTCTTTGAGTTCTTGTGGGACTTGGACTCTCGGAACGGGGTCTACTACAAGTGGAAAGTCTTCTCGCTCGCTCAAGGCGACTCGCTGACTGAGTGGCGCCGGATGCCCTTCCAGATGTTTCTCGGAGGAGTGGTGTGGACGCCTCCTGGGGACCTTGAGTCTGCTCCTGCTCCCCTGGAGAGGAAGAAATCTCGCAGCCGGTCGAGGTCTCCTGGCCATGGCAACAGCGGGGCTGCTCTGACAGACAGTGAGGTGGAGGAGCTCCAGTCGATGCTTCGGAACATGTCGGCAGAGCGAGAGCAGATCGGAGACGCCATGTACTGGTCGATCCGTCGAGCTGAGGCAGCTCAGGATATCGTCGACATCATCACTCAGTCGCTGACCATCCTCAAGACGCCGATTCCCACCAAGATCGCTCGCCTCTTCCTCGTCTCGGACATCCTCCACAACAGCTCAGCCGCCGTCAAGAAAGCTTCCTTGTTCCGCACCTGCTTCGAGAAGGCGATGCCGCACATCTTCGAGGCTCTCGGAGAGAAGCTCAGGTCACCCGACGTTGGCAGGATGACGGCAGAGGCGATGAAGGAGAAGGTGTCGCGTGTGCTGCGGGTGTGGGAGGTCTGGTGCATCTACCCCAACGAGATGATCCAGGAGCTGGAGGATACCTTCCTCGGCAACCCCTCCGCCAAGGGTCCAGCTAAGAACGCGGCCGAGAGCCTCAGCAAAGTAGAAGCGGATAAGGCGATCGACGGGGAGCCATTGGACGGAGAGCCGTTGGACGGAGAGCCGTTGGACGGAGAGCCATTGGACGGAGAGCCATTGGACGGAGAGCCGTTGGACGGGGAGCCGTTGGACGGGGAGCCGTTGGACGGAGAGCCATTGGACGGAGAGCCGTTGGACGGAGAGCCTCTAGATGGGGAGCCCATGGACGAGTAAGAGGAGGAGAGGGTTGCGAGTTGTATGTAACAAGAGGGAGAGAAGGAGAAAGTCTCAGATTGTCATGTGTAGTTGCCGCCCTGCCTGGAACATGTGGGACGGAAGGAGAATATGAGTAGGGTAGGAAGAGAAGGGAGGAGGGAGGAGGGAGAAGACAAAAGATAAACTGAAGAAGCGGGAGAGAAATATATTTACATTCAAGTACAAGAGTTCACTGCATGTGCGCGAAGGCGCCGACGAGGCAGAGAACTTTCTGCAGTTTGTCCTGCAAGAAGATGAGTAGCAATGGGCGAGGACGAGCAGGACGGGACAAGAGGGAAGGACTCAACCTTGAGCTTCAGCCACATTCGCCGCTCGAGGTCTCGCAGCCTCTCGAGCCTAGAGAAAGTCAAAGAGAAGAAGCAGAGGCGGTACAAGGAGTTGGAGCAGGGGCAGGAGGAGCAGGAGCAGGAGCAGGAGCAGGAGGAGCAGGAGCAGGAGCAGGAGCAGGAGCAGGAGGAGCAGGAGCAGGAGCAGGAGGAGCAGGAGCAGGATCTTAGGCGTGGAGGCCAAGGAGAGGGGTCAAGGGAAGGAGGAGAGGAGGAGCGAGAAAGGAGCAGGAGCAG